TTGGAAACCGAAGAGCTCAAATGACACGAAATTTCGTCTGCAAACAAATGCGTCTGAAGAAGTGCGAGTCGGATTTCTGGTTTTGGGCATGTCGTCATGCTAATCTGTACAACGAATACTTCAAATGTGACATATTGTTTGACCCAGAATGCAAAAACAGACTTCTAGGAATGTACACAAAGTTTTTCAAAACTCGCTACAACGAAAGGGACACATGAACTTGGCGCATTTTATGCGAATGCAACAACTGTAGAGACCTGAAGAAACTTACACTTATAACTGAAAACTAAACTTTGAACAATGCAATGACTGGGTTTTATGCGAACCCTTGGATTATATTCCTAAATCCTTTGTTATTATTATTATTATTATTATTATTATAAAGGAATATTGGCTTCTTCCTCACCAATATTAAAGCGACGACCGCTCCATTGTAAGACCGGGACAATCGTTGAGTCAACTTAAGCAAGCTTCGGTGTCAACTCGGGAAGGAAAAATCAGTTTAATTTTGGTGCCAGGCAATGCCCAGCATACCAGATTTTAAGCTGACAAGAACACATGATCTTAGCCAAATGACCGAGTTTCTACAAGATTGTACAAACTGGTGTATATCCACGCGCCTGGAAGGTCAGCAAAGTCACCCCGATTCACAAAGACGATGACCGCTCCATTGTGAGAAATTGTCGCCCGGTATCACTCCTGAGCATCCCGTCTAAAGTACTGGAGCGATGCATATTCAATGCCTTATATCCTTATGTTGCTCCCTAGGTACACTCGAATCAATACGGATTCAGATGCAAGCAATCTGCTTCTTTGCAGTTACTGGTCTACCTTGACGGTATCTATCGGGGATTAGATTTGTCTGAGAATTCCCTTTGTTCACTTTTTTTAGACTTTAGCAAGGCATTTGACAAGATCAATCACCAACTGTTATTGCAAAAACTCAAAGCCCTCGGCGTCACGGGAAAACTACTTGGGTTGCTCAAGTCTTACCTCATTGACAGGCAGCAATACGTCACAATTGGCTCTAGCAGCTCAAGTACGCGGTGGATTTCCATTGGAGTACCGCAAGGATCCATTCTTGGTCCTTTTATAGTTTCTTAGTTACTGCCTTGACCTGACTCACGGGACTAAATCATCCGTGTTCTCATTCGCAGACAACACGAAGCTCCTATCAACAACTCCTGCTGGTAAGGAAAGTTCGTTGCCCGACGATGCTACCACTCTCTTCGTTTGGTCCGAGAAAAACGGGCTTCCGTTTAATGTCGGCAAATGCAAGCTGTTGGGATTTCAGAAACCAAATCGACCTCGTTTTACATTGGGTGATCACGAGCTGTCATTGGCATCCTCACTCCGAGATCTTGGCGTCTTTGTCTCCGATAGCCTCTCATGGAAGCTCCATGTTTCCGCGAAGTGCAACAAAGCTAACAAGTGCTTCTTCCTCATCAAACGAAACAGTGCACATTCAATTCGCCTACCCAGCGTCTCAACCTGTACAAATCACTTATTGTTCCGATATTCTCTTATTCTTCAGCTGCTTGGTACGCATCGAAATGTGACATGGTTATTATCGAGCGTGTTCCGCGCCGAGGCTCAAAGACCTATCCTATGCAGACAGACTACCCGCCTGAATATTTTACCGGTCTGCTTACACCTTCAAATTGCAGACGTTCTGCTCCTATCTGGCATCATGTCCGGAAAATATGACTTCAACTGGCATGAGTTTGTTAAACTTCATATCCACCGCACAACCAGGTCAAGTGATCGCTTGTTATTTGAACTACCTTCGATCCGTCTTGAGGTCCAGCGGAATAGCTTTTGATATCGCGTGCCAAGGTTGATAAATCTGCTTCCAGAATCGATAGACTTTTTAAACCCCTCTTGGATTAAAGCGACGACTGCTCGAAATCTTCTGGAACTACTTTAACGATCGGTAAGATGTTGATATTCCATGCAGCTGGAGAATTGGATGTTGGTGCCTCTTATGCAGATAGTCTAACTGCAGACTGCCTCCTGTCAACGCCCATCCCAGACTTGACATATCGTCCTCCTGACTGGATCCCATACTTCATTAAGGACTCTGAGTCTTAACGGGCCAATGGCCCCTCAACCGTTGGTTGTAAAGCTACAATAATAATAATACAAAAAAAACGTGGACCTTCGAGTCGTCTACGTCCCTCGATGCTAATGGCTGTAGACCAATTTCTGAGATACATCCCAAACTCGCAGGCTGCGTACCCAGCTGGAAGAACGACGAAACAGGTCTTTGCTATAAAGCTCTGTATTGAACGCGCAATCTCCAAAATCTACCAAGATGTGAATCATCTACTTCTCGACATGTCCGTTGCCTTCGACTGCTTCGACCGCAAAAAACCCCTTCACGACATCGGCAAAACCTTGAGCCTAGATGCTCTATACCTTACGTCTATTCTTGTTAACAACACTGGAATACGTGTTAAAACACGCGGAAGTGTAGTGATCTAATTATTACTAATGTGGGCGTTGCATAAGATGATTGTTTCAGCGCATGGTTCTTCATTTGTTGTCTTGCCTCTAGCCTTTTTATTGAGAGTTTGGATATAATCAACAGTCAATTTTTTTCATACGATCACGGCTATTCTATTCCCAAAAATGATTTTGAAAAACAAGACCACCGCTATTCTTATCCGTATGGGTATAGTCCCGATAAAGTCACCACAGCTGACATCACGAGCAAAAGTGGGTTTGACTTTAAGTACGCTGACGATTTCAGCTGGGTTAACCGTCTAAAAGCCGAACTTGACTGCATCATGACTCTTGCCACTACTTGGCTTGCCAACTCGAAAAGGGATGAATTTCAAATTTCAAGGAGCACAACCGACTGGAAGAACTGCAAAGTCCTTGGTACTTTACTTGATGCGGAATCAGCTATCTGACATAGACGTAGACTTGCCGATGTAGCTTTCATGATATGCAAAGTATTTTTCAAGAAAAACAAAATCTCCTTGAACACCAAATTGGGAGTCTTCAACACCTTCATTTCTAGTGTTTTCCTTTATAAATGCGAACTCTGGAAACTAACCAAATAGCTGATCGACGACGTAAATATCATACAGAGACGCTTTTTCATGAAATCTTTAGTATCGTTCATCGTAACATCATCACGAACGAAGACCTCTACAAACGTACCGATTAAGAACCACGGAGTACCCCTATTAAGCGCAAACGTTAAGTCTGGTTCGGCACGTCGTTAGACAAGAGACAGACTAAAGCTAGACAAGCGCGCAGATCCCAACTGTTAGACAAAAATCGTAGGTTACACCTGTTCAAAAAGACATTTATTCTCTGAACGTTCCTCAAAGCATTCAAATTGCAGAGACATAACTTATCACCGAGGACAGAAAAGAGTGGAGAAAACTCACAAAAGTACCAGAAATCTAGTTCACTCTTAAGACGAAGATACGCCAAAAAGTCGTGATTCAAACGACATTAAAAATTTCGAAAATTTTCCCAGTTTTGAGGGAAAAAGAAACACTCATTTTTTATCATATCTTCGTATTATTTCAAAGAAGATGCAATAGTGGCAACTTTTGGAATAAAAATCATCCTAAGATTTCTATTTTTTAGTAAAAATTTAGTAAGGTTGTGATTCTATCGATGAAACGCAAATGATTTGTTTTGTATGTTTTTGCTGTGTTTGATAATCATAGAAAATTACAGTGTGACTGACACTTAAATATTAAAGTTTTTTTTTGTTTAAAACTTTTGATTCTTAGCCTAAGTTCGGGCGAATAAAGCAAACGAGCAGGCGTACAATAGCTTATTAAGGCTTAATTGAAGTCGCGAAAACTTAGTATTACCCGATTAAAGTTAGTTTTTGGGTTTCTTTTCAAAACTTCTGCAAAAAAAATTTTTTGATTTTTTTTTTGGATTTTTTTCTAGTAACTTTTCCTTGAAAATGTTGTCCATTCTGCCTATTTTACTATGACTGTCAAATATGCCGAAGCTTTAGTTTTTCAGATCATATTATCACACCACGCAGAAAATTGAGAAATTTTTTTGAGAATATGGTCAGAACATTCTCTGCTGTTTCACAGTACTTGCCTATCTTGGTTATTTTTAGGGAAAGTCTAGCAAATGTTCAAAAATTACTGGTGCCTTTTCAATGTCGCCTATTGTATCATACGCTAGTATGGCCCTATCCAGTTAGTGCACGGACCGTAACTTCACGGAAGGGCTCATTTTGTAATTTTTTTTTTTTTTTAATTAATTTCTATTAACTTAAAATGTAACTGAGCTATACTTCTATAAAAAAAATTCGTTATATAAGCAGTTAAAATGATTTTTTAAAACTATTTAGCCACCTATCCGCAAAATTCTGTGCTGGAAACTGAATAATTTGCTAAATTTATCTTGCTTCATTTTTTAAAGGTTTCGAAATGTCAGAAACAGAAGTAATCGTAGAGCCAAATGAATCTAACACCGAAGGGTTGCAGGACGGAGACAATGCTCACCCGATGTCGTCTGCTGGTCCCGACTTTCCTCTAATTTCAGCAGAGGAAACTGCTCGCATTGAGCGCGTTATATCCGCTCATAAGTTGAGAGAAACACAGCCTAAGGTTGCTTTTTGTTCCAAGTAAACGAGGATTTAATTAACTTTCAGCTTCAAGTCAAATAAACCATTGCGTGAACCTCATTTTGATCTAAAAATGTACGCTTGGCTTTTTTGTTAAATCTAAAGAGATGGAAGTAGTTTTGAAAAACAAAGAGATGAATTCGTTTAGTAAAAAAAAATACAGATTAGATTTATAATTCACAGCTGGTATAATATAATGTTTTATGACTGGAACGAAGAACAAACCTCTTAAAGAACTTATGGTTTTTGGTTTGCTGTCAAATATAGACTTTCTGCAGGTTTCGGGGTCTTGAAATTCGCTGCTGGATTTTGATGTTAAAAACGTGGAAGAGGCATGTGAATCGCACCACTGCTATTAATTTTGAAGGAAACTTTTTACGTCTAGGGAATAGTAGAGATGCAATCCTGGCCTCTCAAAGCATATCTGGATGCAACGTTAGTTCCAGTTTTGATGCAAGGCATGCTATTGGTTGCAAAAGAACGGCCTTCCCGGCCCATTGAATTTCTGGCTGCCTTCCTTTTCAAAAACAAGGACAAATGCGATCCTGTGGCTATGATGAGACTGCGTAACAGCCAGGCAGCCGTTTCTGAAGCTGCAGAGAAAGCGCAACCTGTTGACTAATAGTTTCGACAATCATCATCTTTATCTGCCGCTATAAGCATTTTCAGTTCTAATTTCATTGTAAATAATCTATAAATATGTAAATTTTCAACAGACTTGTAGTAAGGTAGATTTGAAATTATTTGAGTTAACATTTTTTTAATATACAAGTTTTAACATAACAGCGTACATCAACTCCAGTCATATCATTGTACAAGAAAACTGTCGTCCAATATGCCTATTTTAATATTGCTTTCGAAGATGCTAAAGTTTTAGGCTTTCATTCAGATACTGTCATCACACCACGCACAAAAAAAAACGATTTAATTAAAAAAAAACTTGTTTTGAATTTTTTAAACATGATGATCAGACCTTTCTGTGCTACTTGCACAGCAACCAGCTATCCTTATTTCGTTTTTTTTTTGTTTATTTAATGCATTATTATAAAATTCAAAAGTTTTCCCACCAGACTCGCCGAACTTGCGGTCTAAAAAAATCTTTAATTTTTTTAATGATTTTGTTTTTTCTTGTCGTTTTTCAAAAAACACGTTTGACTTATGTGTTAGGCACATTTTGCTATGATCTAGGCTTTCTCAGAGCCTTTCTTTTCACCACGCACGGAAATTGAACCTAATTTGTAAAAAGGAATATTTTTTTTGTAGATCAAAATATGGTCAGAAGATTCTGTGCTACTTGTACAGGAGCCGGCTATCCTTATTTTCAATTTAACCTTAAATTTTAATTTTCAGATTTCTCAGCGGAAAAAAAATAGCTATCAATCCAGTTTGTTCAAACTGGGTTAATTTTATCAAAAAAAGACAATCCTTATTTTTCTTGAAATTAAAAGAGCTTCAAGTTTTTTTTTCAGTTTTTTCTGGTTCATTGATTCTTTTCGAACTCTGTCGGCTATTTTTTTTCTGTGAAATGTTCATCGCTTAAGGGACTTTTGAGTTGATTACGCTTGCAATAAGCAAGCTTTATCAAATCAGAATATTGATTTTCGGGCTAACAACTAGTATAACAAAATTACTGAATAATTTGTGCAGCATTCATTTCTGCAGCAAACATGCTCAACTTCTTGAAATCACAAATTTAACTACGGAACGAAGACTAGTAGACTTATAAAAGTCTAATTCTTATATTTTTGTTTAATTAATGAAAATTTTGTTTTTCTCTTGTGTATTGTCTGTGAACGGCTAAATGGCTACGCTCGAATCCGGTCAGCTTCTGTTTTTTTGAACGTAAAATAATTAGTAGCAACAAATGATCGACCTCTGGGTTGTCTGCTGATAGGTTGTCGGTTTAAATGCCATATTTTTAAGCTTTCTTGTATATTTTTTTTTGTAATCGAAAGTGTTTTTTGATTCTTTGATATAATTTGTAATTGTTTCACTTGCGAAAGCAAGTTTCTTGTTGTCGGAAACAAGACTTTTTTTTCCAGTTAACAACTTTTCTTACTCCTTTATAATTGAAATTGATGTTGCTTTTTTATCAAACCTGCGGTACTTCCAGGCGCCATGGCCTTTGGTCTTTCATTTGCCTTAAAAACCTAGTGTGTGAGTTCGCGTCCCGATCTGACCTTGTTTGCTTTTTGCAAATTGATTTTTTTCCGGTAAGATTTTACAGTCGCAGATTATAGTTTGTTGGGTTTGTTGCCACCCGCCATTTTTTGCGCTGTAACCAGTTCTCATTGTTGTCTCAAGTGTTGTTGATTAACTCTGAAGTTTTTAGAAATTACTATACCTGATTGGTATATTTTCCGTTTTTTTTTGTGGTTTTTTTTTGGTTTTGGCTTAGAACTTTGTTGCATAGTGAACATATGTTGCATCGGTATAAGGATAAAAAGTGATTATTCATGTTCAGTTGGCTGGTAGTATAAAAGTTCAAACTTTTTAATCGCTCAATTTTTTTTTGCATTTTTTGTTTTGTTTTATTGGCGTCTAAGCACGTGTTGTCGGTTTAGTAAACGCCCGAAATATACCAAAAGCTGGTTTAATGCTAGTGGCTGCGTTTTTCGTCTGTCTTTCAGAGATGGAATTTTTTATAGTTCAAAAAATGTTGATTTGTTATGACAAGCATTTTCTTTGGTATTTTTGTTTTTGATTCAATTGACGTCTAACCACAGGTTCTTGGCCTGGTGGGCGCCTGAAAAACACTAAAATCTTGTTTAATGCTAATGGCTACCTTACTCGTCTGTTTTTCAGAGAATGAATTTTGCATGTTTCAAAAAATGTTGATTTTTGATGACAAATATTTCCTGTGGTATTTTTGTTTTCGGATTAATTGGCGTCTAACCGTGTTGTTGGCTTAGTGGTCGATCGGAAAAAAATTGCCCAATGCTAGTGGTTGTTTTTCTTGTCTGTTTTTCTGTGATTGAATTTTTTGTTATTCGAGTTCAAGTTATTTCATCTCACTGACCTTTTAGTAGCTTGCAATGGTACGCTCTGGTGTATCGAAAGTTATGCGAAGCTCTGCTTCACCTCTGTGCTTATCTTTTTCGCGATTTTTTTTTGTAGAATACTAAAAACGCTTATGATTGCTCGAGCGTTAAATGAAGAGATACGAAGATGGAAACGTTTAATCAGAACTACTGCCTAATGATTTAAAACGAGAAAAGTCTGTTTGCTTTGTGCTGCTTTATTGTTCTTCGTGAGGTTTGTGTTGCTGAATGTTCGATACTGGCTAAGGATCGAAGGTTGGAGACATAACCAGGTGATTTGGAAGTGGTGTTTAATGTACTAAAAATACTTTTAGACGTTTTCTGCTAAATGACAGCTTTTTTCAGTTCATCTTTTTATTCATAAAATACATGTTGTTGAAGCTCAGTCATATGTTTTCGCTTTGTTTTTGAAATATATTGTTTTTAATTGTTTTTATATATTTTTTCGCTGTTGAGTTTTGGTACTTAGCTTTTGCGAAAAAAAACATGGCGATTTTGATGATAGTACCTGTTAAGTAGCGCGGATATAGCGAGCGAGCAGGCTTATAAAATTCTAATTCTTATAATTTTGTTTAATTAATGAAAATTTTGTTTTTCTCCTGTGTATTGTTGCTGGTTATTCAAAAAACAAAAATGATAAAACAAAAACTTTATTGTTTGTCGTCTGTATTTTCATTTTTCGAGGTTAAATGTTTTCGAATATACCTACTGGGTTTTTTCTATCGAATACACCGTAGTTCTAGGCTTTCAGACACATTTTTTTGCTACACGAATAAACACGACACAAATTGAAATCAGATAACCTAAGTTTGACTGCCTAACAGTTGTTTCAATTTAAAGATTTCAGTTTATAAAGCCAGAAAAAATGAGCAAATTACTTTTCGAGACCACTTGCTGCCAAAAAAGCTAAAACCGTAGTCAATATGGCTCAGGCAAACAGTTGAATTTTTTAAGGACCACAATTTACTGCCTAAAAATTTTAAAAATTTCAAAAAAGAGGAATTAAATCATTTTGTTCATAGGTGAAGGGATGTTTTTTATCTAAAAAAAATTAACTCAGTGATGTCTATTGGAAAAAAAATAAAAATTGAATTTGTTTAAGAAAATTATAATATTGTTGGCATCAATTTAAATTTTTCCGAAATTTTAGAAATTTAAGTTTTCCTTCAGTCTGATTTTAGCAGTTTTTTGGGCATACCTATTTGCTACAAAAATACATCAGATTTGTGAAAATTTAGATTACTTGCTTTTACTGCGGAACTACGAAATGAGAAATTGATTCTCATGAGTAAACTTTGTATTTTGGCTTTGGATCGAATACCGCCGCAGCAATTTAAATTTTTTAAAATTTAAATTACTCGATTTAAATCAAAGTTTTTCATATAATGGCACATAATTTCACATTGAAATAAATTGAGTGGGCAAATAGTTTCACATTGAAATAAATTGAAATTTAAATTAATTTAAATGGTTTTTTAAATGTACATCACTAAGATCCGATATTGGCTCCATTCTTCATATCCTGTGAGGGTTGTGACTACGGCAAGCAATACCAATAGATTTGCCATTCCAGAGTAGGAATTTCTTCGAGTTTAATCTCCCTTTGCTGCTCGTTCCTTTTGCTCTGAGGAATCTTTTACATTAAATATCTGCATCTTGTTAGTGAATTCAGTTTTACTTATGATTTTTGTTAATTGTTTTCGCAAGAGCATTTTTTTGTGTGTTATTTTAAAGAGTGGCTCACCCTAGAGCTACTCACATAAAAAATAGTGGAGCGTGTCATAAGCGTGTGTCATATATAGAACGAAATCGTATGACCGTTTTCACTTGTTATTATTGTGTCACTAGATTGAAAGTTTAACGAAGCGCTGATTCTCCTGTGTTTGCCCATTCGTAATTTGTTAACTAGTTTTGTCTTCGCTTTTCTTGATTTGCGTTTGTGGTGTATTTTACGGTATTCAACTGATTTTTTTGTTTGTCTATAAATGGTTTGAGTTAAAAGAAAAAAGCTATGGTATTGGAATATTTACGTGTCCACTGGCTGTCACCGAAGAGTTTATTTGCTCTTGCAATTCTTTGAGTTATGTGTTCAAATTTAAAATTTGCCAGTATTTAAAAGATAAAAATGTCCGATAAAATGTTTGGAAAACGCGATGAAAGGATCGAGTCGTATGCAGTCGACACTAACTTGGGTCTCGTTGCTCTAAGCATAGGATTCGTAGCTTTTGGAGTACTTGTACTTGTTTACCTAACGCGCAAAATGGGAGTTTTAAATGTATCACAGCGCAATGTAGCAGCACCAGCTAGCCACCAAGTTTTGAACAGACAACCCCAGATGCTACAAAGACCTAGCCAGAATCGAGGAGCTCCGGTGCCTAGATTCATAGCCGGCGAGGAGGGAGCTGAGATGGATTTTGGATCGGACTCAGAAGCGGGCTCGGAGGCCGATCTGATTGAGGGGTTGAGAAATAGAACAGGGAAATTAGGTGTTAAGAAGATGAAGAAACTGGAAATGAAAGAGGAAAAACGCAGAATGAGAGAAGCCGAGGTAGGTTTCATTTTATATTATTGAGCCGGGTCTCAGAGCGACTGAAAGGATCAGTTTGAGCTAAATTTTAGTTCTCAAGCGAACTAAGTCCTATACAGTGAGTTTCATTGAACTTCTTTTGTTCGAATTTAAATCATATAGGTGTCCGTGGTCCAAACTTGGTAAGTTATTTGGTTTTACTTTTTTTTTCAGGTCCTACGTTGTCAGTACGAAACTCAGCAGTATTCTGCACATCTTTTCGTTAGCCGATGTATAGATTGGGCTGAATGTGAACCTTATGTGATTTTCGCTTGAGAGCAGGTGTACACAAGTTTTGTCTTTTTAGGCAGAAGTGCGAGCAGAACGAGCCAAAAGAGAAGCAGAAATAGAACTAAAGCGTCAGGCGGAAGCAGCACAAGAGGCAGCTGAAGAAGCTAGACTAGAAGAGGAGCGAACAGCGGCCGAGGAAGAGCGTAAGAAAAAGGAGCACGAGGAGTATCTGCAGATGAAGGCGATGTTTGACGTCGAAGAGGAGGGATATGATGCAAACCAATCAGAAGCGGAGGCACAGAACCAGCTCAATATGTTTATAGATCACGTCAAAAATAACAAGGTTAGTGATTCCATGATTGAAAATGAGCTGTGTGGTTATTGAAGCTTCTGCATTTTTAGGCCGTTAGTTCAGTTAGATTTGTTTAGTTCAGTTCAAGTAGTCAATTATTACTTGTGAAACTTTGAAATATTTTAAGATGCGAGAATCGTTTGCCCTATTTTGATTCTTTTAAAGAGAATCAATATTCTTGAAAGAATACGACTTCGTTCTTTGAAATGGATCTGAAAGGAAACGATTTGCCGAATAGAATGTAAAGTTAACATATGTATCTGGAACTACATTCTATTTTCAGTGTGAATGCCTGACTCTTTCAATCGATTGCTCCCTCTGGTTACTTTTTTTGTAACTGCTTCCTAATTATTCTGACAACATGGTATCTATTTTTTAAAAACATCAGGAAGTGCGCTTCGCAGCTAATAAGCTGTGGATTTGAAAATTCCTAATATTAACGAATGATAGAGAGTCGAGCTTAGGTTCTTAAAAGAGAGTCGAGCTTGGGATAGAGAGTTGAGCTTGGGAGACTATAATATCACAGTCGAAGTACTTATCTAACGTTTTTTTCTTTCAACAAGAATCGTTGTGGCCGTAAAAAAGTCAATCGGTTGATTTTGTCTGGAACTACACTCTATTGTCAGTTTGAGTATCTGACGGTTTTAAACGGTTCCAATATTCAATCGAATGCTCCATCTAGTTGCTTTTTTGTAACTGATTCCAAAATGTTCGGACAATCTTGTATAATAATTCTTGCTTGATTTTTCTGCTTACCAAAATGTCATAGTCGAAATACTCACTTAACGTCTTTTTTTCAACACGAATCTTTGTGGCGGTTAAAAGTGTTCGCTTGTTTTTTCTGGTAAATAGCTGATCTTACTATTTCAAGTATCAGCAAGTTTTTTATTAAATTGTCAATGGAATGATTTTTCCTGGAACTACACTCTATTGTCAGTGTAAATATCTGACGGTTTTAAACGGTTCCAATATTCAATCGAATACTCCATCCAGTTGCTTTTTTGTAACTGATTCCTAAATATTCGGACATGGTATATATTTTGTAAAAACATAATTGTGCGCTTCGCAGCTCATAGGCTATGAATTTGAATCTTCCTTATAATAACGAATGATAGAGAGCTGAGCTAAGGTTCATATCGTAGTGAAATATCAGTGACAGGTAGCGTTTTAGTGTATGTGGAATTTCGATCCTGACTTAATGTAACATTTTTGCTCACGATGTTTTCATAATAAGTTATGATTCATTTTTGTGCGACTATAAGATCATAGTCGAATCACTCAACTATCGTGTTCTTCTTTCAATGAGAATCGTTGTGGCAGTAAAAAAAAGTTTCAATGAAATGATTTTTCCTGGAACTACACTCTATTGTCAGTGTAAATATCTGACGGTTTTAAACGGTTCCAATATTCAATCGAATACTCCATCCAGTTGCTTTTTTGTAACTGATTTCCTAAATATTCGGACATGGTATATATTTTGTAAAATTATAATTGTGCGCTTCGCAGCTTATAGGCTATGAATTTGAATCTTCCTTATATTAACGAATGATAGAGAGTCGAGCTAAGGTTCATATCGTAGTGAAATATCAGTGACAGGTAGCGTTTTAGGTTATGTGGAATTTCGATCCTGTCTTAATGTAACATTTTTGCTGACGATGTTTGCATAATCATTCTTGATTGATTTTTCTGCTTACCAAAATGTCATAGTCGAAATACTCACTTAACGTCTTTTTTCAACACGAATCTTTGTGGCGGTTAAAAAGTGTTCGCTTGTTTTTTCTGTTAAATAGCTGATGTTACTATTTCAAGTATCAGCAAGTTTTTTATTAAATTGTCAATGGAATGATTTTTCCTGGAACTACACTTTTGTCAGTGTAAATATCTGACGGTTTTAAACGGTTCCAATATTCAATCGAATACTCCATCCAGTTGCTTTTTTGTATCTGATTCCTAAATATTCGGACATGGTATATATTTTGTAAAAACATAATTGTGCGCTTCGCAGCTCATAGGCTATGAATTTGAATCTTCCTTATAATAACGAATGATAGAGAGCTGAGCTAGGGTTCATATCGTAGTGAAATATCAGTGACAGGTAGCGTTTTAGTGTATGTGGAATTTTGATCCTGACTTAATGTAACATTTTTGCTCACGATGTTTCCATAATAAGTTATGATTCATTTTTGTTAGACTATAAGATCATAGTCGAATCACTCAACTATCGTGTTCTTCTTTCAATGAGAATCGTTGTGGCAGTAAAAAAAAAGTTTCAATGAAATGATTTTTCCTGGAACTACACTCTATTGTCAGTGTAAGTATCTGACGGTTTTAAACGGTTCCAATATTCAATCGAATACTCCGTCCAGTTGCTTTTTTGTAACTGATTTCCTAAATATTCGGACATGGTATATATTTTGTAAAATTATAATTGTGCGCTTCGCAGCTTATAGGCTATGAATTTGAATCTTCCTTATATTAACGAAAGATAGAGAGTCGAGCTAAGGTTCATATCATAGTGAAATATCAGTGACAGATAGCGTTTTAATGTTTGTGGAATTTGGATCCTGACTTAATGTTAAATTTTCGCTCACGATGTTTTCATAATAAGTCTTGATTCATTTTTGTGCTGACCATAAGATCATAGTCGAATTACTCAAGTATCGTGTTTTTCTTTCAATGCGAATCGTTGTGGCAGTAAAAAAATGTGTCAATGGATTGATTTTGTCTGAAACTACACTCTCTTGTCAGTTTGAGTATCTGACGGTTTTAAACGGTTCCAATATTGAATCGAATACTCCATCCCGTTGCTCTTTTTGTAACTGATTCCTATATGTTGTGATTATAAATATTTTGTAAACACATCAGGTAGTGAGCCTCGTAGCTAATAAGCTGTGGATTTGAATCTTCCTTAAATTAACGAATGATAGAGAGCCGAGTTAAGGTTCATATCGTAGAGAATATCAGACAGGTAGCGTTTTAGTGTTTGTGGAATTTCGATCCTGACCTACTGTAATTTTGTCGCTCACGATGTTTCATAAATTTCTTTTGATTCTTGTGCTGGCTATAATAACCCAGTCGGTTTAGTCAACCAACGTTTTTTTTCTTCAACACGAACCGTTGTGGCAGTAAAAAATGTGTCAATTGAAAAATTTTGCCCGGAACTACACTCCAATGACAGTGTGAATATCTGACGGTTTTAAACGGTTCCAATATTCAATCGTATACTCCATCCAGTTGCTTTTTTATAACTGATTCCTAAATTTTTGGACATGGAACATATTTCGTAAACACAGCAGGAATTGTGCTTCGCTGCTAATAAGCTCTGGAATTGATTCTTCCTAATATAAACGAATGATAGAGAGTCGAGCTTAGGTGCTTAACTTGTAGTGAAATATCAGTGACAGGTAGCGTTTTAGGGTTTGGGTTTTCGAGCCTGACTTGCTGTAACGTTTTCGCTCACGATGTTTGCATAATAATTCTTGATTGATTTTTGTGCTTACTAAAATTTCAGTCGATTTGATCAACTAACGTCTTTTCCTTTCAACATGAATCGTTGTGGCGGTTGAATTGTACGCTTTTTTTTCTGGTAAATAGCTGATCTTTTTATTTCAAGTGTCAGCAAGGTTTTTGTTGAATTGTCAATCGAATGATTTTGTCTGGAACTACACTCTTTTGTCAGTGTGATTATCTGAAGGTTTTAAACGGTTTTTATGTTCAATCGATTACTCCATTCAGGTGCTTTTTTGTAACTGATTCTTAAATTAAGTTGTGGCAGTAAAAAAAAAGTTTCAATGGAATGATTTTTCCTTGAACTACACTCTATTGTCAGTGTAAATATCTGACGGTTTTAAACGGTTCCAATATTCAATCGATTACTCCATTCAGGTGCTTTTTTGTAACTGATTCTTAAGTTTTCGGTCCGTGCGCTTCGCAGCTAATAAGCTGTGAATTTGAAACTTTCTAGTATTAGCGAATGATAGAGAGTCGAGCTTAGATTCTGATTCTTAACTCGTATTGAAATATCATTGACAGGTAGCGTTTTAGTGTTTGGATTTTTGATCCTAACATACTGTTAAACGTTTGCTCTCGATGTTTGCATTTTACTTTTTCGTTCAATTTTGTGCTGACTGTAATATCGGAGTCGATTTAGTCTACTAGCCTGTTTTTGCTTCAACACGAATCTTTGGCGGTTGAAAAATGTTCGGTATTTTTTTTTCGTAATTAGCTGATCTTTTTTTAAAAAGTGTCAGCAAGATTTTTGTTAACTTGTCAATGGAATGATTTTGTCTGGAACTACACTCTATTGTCAGTGAGATTATATGATGCTTTCAAACGGTTCCAATATTCATTCGAATACTCCATCCAGTTGCTTTTTTGTAACTCATTCCTAAATATTTGGACATGGTGTATATTTTTGTAAACACATCATGTAGTGCGCTTCGCAGCTTATAACATGTGCATCTGAATCTTCCTTATATTAACGAATGATAGAGAGTCGAGCTAAGGTTCATATCGTAGTGAAATATCAGTGACAGATAGCGTTTTAATGTTTTTGGAATTTGGATCCTGACTTAATGTAACATTTTTGCTCAAGATGTTTCCATAATAAGTTATGATTCATTTTTGTGAGACTATAAGATCATAGTCGAATCACTCAACTATCGTGTTCTTCTTTCAATGAGAATCGTTGTGGCAGTAAAAAAAAAGTTTCAATGAAATGATTTTTCCTGGAACTACACTCTATTGTCAGTGTAAGTATCTGACGGTTTTAAACGGTTCCAATATTCAATCGAATACTCCATCCAGTTGCTTTTTTGTAACTGATTTCCTAAATATTCGGACATGGTATATAATTTGTAAAATTATAATTATGCGCTTCGCAGCTTATAGGCTATGAATTTGAATCTTCCTTATATTAACGAATGATAGAGAGTCGAGCTAAGGTTCATATCATAGTGAAATATCAGTGACAGATAGCGTTTTAATGTTTG